TGATCAATGTGATCCCTTTTTTAAGTTCAACCTCAAACGACAGAGATTTGAGAAATCATACAATAAGTATTCAAATGCTGTATCTCACAACAGAACTTAATTGTTGCTAATGAAATGTGATAGTTTTGAGAGACAGTAAAGACAACAGGCACTTACAGTCTCTTTGGACTGTTTTTGTAAAATCTAAGGCATTGTGCTCTTTAGGCATGCTGATCAAAGCCTTTTAAACATTTTCCTACAAATTAATTCTGTAAATGTGAATCATTAAGCTGAGACTTTTTAATGTAATTGATAATTTCTCAAGATCATATACTGTAGCACAGATGAAGATAAAGTCATTAGTTCCTGCTCCAACGTGCAGATTTAAGAATATTCATCTGGCTCTCCACATATATAAAAGCTACCAGTTGCCCTTGCCAGCGAATGAAGGACATTAAGGCTCAGCCTGGTTGATCTCTGATGACAAGGGTCTGGAGGAGGGATTAAAAGCAAGGGGACCAAAGTTATGGTCAGTCCCTTAAAAGGATGGCGTGGCATCTCATAGGCCTGAAGCTTGCAGGACTTGAAAGATCTTCAAAGGTCTGCTCACCCCACACAACCTACTCTAACTCCCAAAAAATCTTGGAAGTATGAATTTTGAAAGATATGGATTTTCAAATATGATTCATTTTCATTTTGCATTGCGACAGGCCATAACAACATTACTGCAGTTCATGTATAAATACTTTTGCTTTCAGTTTGCTGTTAATTCAATGTATGAATTGAGATGATTGCTGTCAGTCATGTGGTTACCTCCTGAGCTTACCAGCTCATAGGAGAACATTAAAGTCTCCACAATAGGTCTCAGAAACTGGCTTGTCAGATACTGTCAAACTATCTGTTATGTAAGGCATGGATAATAAATGAAAAAAGACCATTCACAGGGGTAAAATGCAATGCACCAAAAGACAAATATCCATTAAATATAAGGGTAGGCGTGGCCTTTGTCTCTATCCCACTGCATATTGGCTGTTCAGCGATACACAGTTTTAGGCGAATTCTGCAACAATGGTCGGAGAGCAGAGTGTTCGAGAGGCTTGGGCTTAAGTTGACAGAGGAGCGACCGTTGGGAAGACTGAATAGGAGTCTAGTTTAATAATCCCTGGTACAGGCTGGACTACACAGGGGGCTGGCACCACTGAAATCAGAAAACTGCAGTGCAGATGAAGGTCTAAAGGATCAGTCTGGTTAAATCATAAGAACACAGCACAGGGACTCTACATTTCACTATTTTATGGTTTGTAAACATGCTTAACATTTGCATGTGATTCTAATGATTGCATTGTCTTACATAAGACCAATGCTTTCTGAGGGCGTGTTTTAATAGCTTATTAATTGTCAAGCTGCCAAATTAACACAGGCTTAGACATGAAACAGATTACCTTACTAATGTTCTCAAAGAAGAACAAGTGAAATGAGCTACATATGCATTCTACTCCACCGTTTCATCTTATTGAGAGTTGTATTGTATATTGTTCAATCTTTTACTTTAGAATCAATCTTTCATCATTGTTACAATTGCCCCCATTATGCATTGTTAGCATTGTTGATGCCTTGATGCCAAACCCCTCAGTAGCTACCACTCCCCAACTGGAAAAAGAATGTAAAGAAAATTAGAGCAGCAGAGCAGCTGCATCCAGTTTACCATGTGGGGTTGCAATTTCCCATGGAGAGAGTGACAGAGAGTATACAGAAAAGGAAGATATATGAGTCACGTTCCATGCATGTTTGGGGGAGAATCTGGCAGAGGACACCTACTTACCATGGAACCACACTGGCAGAGATTAGGGGGCCATCATAAAGGAGCCATAGAGGATGAAGATAGCCAGGAGCTGCCAGGATAGAGATAGATGAGACGGAGGAACAAGAGGACCTGGCAAAAAAAAAGGGAGTGGGGCACAGAGGGGAGGATGAAAAGCAAGTTGGGGAGAAACAGCACCGCTGGCTTGACCTGGGGATGATGGGGGGAAAAGCCAGAGATCCAATTAAAATCATATTTGGTCAGTCAGAGTCAACACTGAGACACAACCCGAGACCAGTGCTTAAACCATATTTGGTAAAGTATGGGAGCTGCATAGTGTAGGTTACGCAAGATGTCATACACAGTTATGATGATGCATAAAACCAAAGACCTAGTGTGATAAAGCAGCCCACCCCCTGGTACACAGCTGGGGCTCAACCCAAGTATGGCATAACAGCAACCCAGGGGGGAAGATAAAATGGATCCCAAGGTGAAATGGATTTATTTACATTAAATTGATGTATGCCCTGTATACCCTGTCCAAAATGGCGCCTGTGCTTGTTGCTAGGCAGAGAGCGCAAGAGTAAAGATGGCGGCAGACAAGTGGCAAACTGGGAAGCGGAGGTCTAATCAGTTGTGATTACAGGGGGGAAGGGTGTGGCAGGGTTCAGTGATTATGGAATATTACCACGGCTTGGTCAGAAAATACGCCGAAAAGCTCACATACTGTATTGGGAGAAATTCACAGTTCAGGTTGCTGCACATACTGAAAATATAGAGGTTTCTTTAAGCGCAAAACAATTTTTGATCATCTCTATTATGTTTTCTGTGGAGAGTTTGACTATTTTTAGAAGTAGAGGAGAAAGGGGCAACAGTTGGGGTTTAGATGATGAACTCTGAGATAGAAATACAGACTTTCTTGAGATTACATCAAATTACACATTGATTAAAGAATTTGATTCAAGCTATTGATAAGGTAGCAATACAAAAGAAGGGGATCTCATACATTTCAGTCATCACATAATTAAAGTATACTGAACAAAGCCAACCCAGTTCAGAAATGCTTCACATTTGAAGTATTTCACAATATCATCAGCTTGATCTATCTAAGACCATACCAAACTACTTACCACAAATCCTTAAATGTCATGAAAATTATTAGCATTATCAACCTGAGTGGTACTGATCACTCATCACGTTTGCTACTCATTAGCAAAAAACAATTTGAAAAAAATCTGATTAAAGCAAGACCTATCCGATATGTACACCACCAAAGCTGGGTTTGGCACCAGTGCGTACCCCCCCACACACACACGCAACCCTCAAAGATAAGTGGGTATAGCACTGGTATAATTGATGGATGGATACTTTACGTAATTGAAACTGGTTGTTGTCTTATCAAAAATTGAAATACAAATACTGAAACTTGTGTAGGGTTTTCAGAGAGATGCCTCATGGAAAGCTAAAAATTAACTGCGGTCAAAACTCAAGAGGGATTTGCAAAATACATCATCAAAAATATGTGACTCTCCCTACAGATGCACCCTCCCATGAGTATCATGTGCAACATACACTTTTAACCAGCACAAAGAATGCATAAACAAGTTCATGACAACTCTGCACCATCTTGAGAATAATTATACCGTAAGCACATAAATGTAGGTGCTTTGCAAGTTTCCCTCAGAAATATGAAAGAGGATTAAAACAGTCTAGAGAATTATTATTATTTCTTTTTAACAGTTTTATAAATATAGAAGGATAAAGCAACAAAAATAATACGAGCGGCTTATAGGCATATACCACTTGTTTCTCGTCTTTCAAATATTATCAAAATAACCAATAACCAAGAACTAACAAGAATGTATTAATATGGTGCACACAGGAAGTATGTTTGTGGCCATCCAGACAACTGCCCCTTCATCAAACCCTTTCACTGGAATGAAGAACATCCTTCTTACAGCTAGTTAGCTGTCAGATCACTGTAAGCATATATTTCAAAGAATTGTCAAATGAATGCAATTTTGACCTGATTTCCTCTTGATATGTGTGAAGCAAATTAGTATATATAATGGCAGTCATCATCCAAATATTTAATGGTATAAAACGCTGAAATCCATATATACAGATACAAAGTATAAAGCTTTGCTTCTGGCAGTGGAGCAGAAGTTTTTTTTTCCATTACCTTATTCATCATAATTGTGACCCACCCAACCTCCACAATAATCAGGCAACTGCAGTACTTTCCAGAGCGTGACGAGGACAGACACTCGCTGTGTACATCATCTTTAGCTACACCCCATTAAATGTCCCATTAACTATACTTCAACCTTGTCATTCAGTTTCCAATCACTCTCCTTCTCCTTTTAAGCAGGTAATATTGTTAGAGAGAGGTATAATTTTTGACACAGGAAACAGGGAGTGTAAACTAAGATTAAGCTGTATGACAATAATAACTCACTAAAGATGAATTTTGCTCTGCACCAGGATTAGCATTGAAACAGAATTCAAGTTCTGCCGAGAAAAAGAAGAAACACAAATCTTCTCATCTTATTTCTCTAAAATAATGAGGTGTTTGTCGAAATTTACATTCCAGAAAGTACAAAAAAACAAACAAAACAAAAAAAAAGCAAACATGAACAAATGCTGTAACACTGGAACTTAGGTGAAGTGAAGCAAACATTTTACCAATAGCAGTGTGTGCGTCCAAAAAAAGGAACACTAAAATCTTTATTTTTTTTAGCTTTTTCTCAAACTTTTTCAACTTTAAGGAATTGCAAAATGAAACAGAACATGACATATCTGTCCTCTGAGTGGTACTGTGACTTTACAGTGAAATCCAGCAGATCTATTAATCCAGTGAGGAGCTCCAATTTCTTTGAATGTAAAAGCTGCTATTGAGAAAATTGTGTTTGTAGTATACTATAAAGATTTGGAAGATAGACTTAGCTATTAGTATTTGGATAATACAATATAGTTAGGCTACATGTGACATGGGGGGGGGGGGGGGGGGGGGGGAATATAAAATTTGATTAATAAGATAACTCAATTTAGTTAAATTGACTTGAGGAAGCAAAAGGCAAATGGGGACTGCCTCACTGAAAGAAAGAATGCGCGTGACCTTGTGGCAAATACACCTGTATCCCCAGAAACGCACGCGTTCAAGGCGCAGTTCAGAAAGCTACAATCTACTTGAAGCGAACAGAAAACCGTTTGTTGTTTGTTGTTTGTTGTTCAGAGTGACCGTCACATTTTAGCCGACTTAGAGCAATTTTTGGGGTAAATTTTAGTTTATAACGTTACAGTTCACTCACAGGCGATGTACTACCTCAACCAATCCAGTTTGTGTTGATGATCTGGCCAGTATCTGACAACCATAAACACCGAATAGATCTTCTGTAAGTGAGAATACCCTCCGTTTCCAGGCCTGAAAATATGGGATACTAGAAATTATCAAATAAAAAATAAAAAAAAGTTTGAGTTCAGGATGGAAATGCATTGATTGGGTTTAACCACACACGCCTGATCAAAGAGAATATAGACACTTTAATAAAATATAGAATACATAATTAATTATACAGTAGGCTTATATACAGTAGAACTGTATGCTAATTAAACGTTTTAATAGTATCACGAACACTGGTTTATGCTCACACTGGTCTTACTTTGCACAGAAATGTGAAATATACATATAATACAAACAGGATTACGAATGTGTAATAAAAAAGGGGGCCAAAAGTGGATCTTAATCAAGGGGAGAGAAAAAGTAAACCTACTGAGCCGCGCAGTATTTTAATTACAGATTTATCATGCTTCAGGCCCATCGTGCTTGTTAGGTCTCAAAATTTAACTTGAGAAATCTTTGATATTTGTTTCATCTTGCGACATACACAAAGACATGAATAATGTTGCTATCTTCCCGACATACATTACACCAAGTTTACATTCAACAAAGATCCCTACACATAGGGCTACATTCAACAAGACGTTTCCTTTTTTCTTTCCAGTAATAGCCTAGAAGTTCAGAAGACACGCGGGAAACATAATTTCCTTTGTAATGTTATTTTGTCTCACTTAAGATAGATATATTTAATAATTATGCAACACAGCGAAACAATTAGGCATATACACTTTGTCAAAGTTCCTATAACCCACGGTGGCCAGACTCACCCAAACAGGCCTCACGACAACAAATAGGCTATACCTGGCCACATTTCGCAATGCAAGATTTCAATACGATGACTCAGGACGTGTCACAAAATATCTGATACAACATTCACAAAAATACAGAGTAACAGAGATACAGCTGTAGGTTTAGGCTCTAACATGAAAAATAGGCCCAAGAAATTGTAAGTCCTCAACAGGAGCTCAGAGAGATGGGATGTTATTACATTGCTTTGGTGGGAAGGAGTCCACGCCGCTGTGGCATGTGTACCATCCATTGACAATACTTTTCTGAAAGGGAGAAGTGGAGGGGAAAGTCCTTGAGCTCTGGGCAAAAGTGTGACCTGTCTGGCTGCAGGGGTACTGGGAGGACTGGGACCTGTAGCTGCCTCTCTGAAGCAACAAAGGGTCCAAGAGGGGCTGTGACCTGTGAGTGGAGTAGTCCAAACTGCTGTCAAACGTGTGATGGAAACGTGACCTCGGAGTCGACTCGTCTCGACTCTCTGGGGACATGGGGACATCTTGAGCTGAGCTGGGGGGATGAGGGGGGCTGATCTGGGCTCCATCCGGGATTCGGGTTGACCTGGCCTCCACAATGTGACCCCCGTCACCAGAACGCGCGTCACCGCTTTTGGCGTCGTGGGCCTTGTTGCAGTGGAGCTTCATATGCTTTCGCAGGGAGCTTGGGTGGGTGTAACACTTGTCGCAGCCTCTGACCTTGCACATGTAGGGTTTATCACTGGAGTGCACGTGAGAATGTTTCTTTCTGTCGCTGCTGTTCGCAAACCTCCGGTTGCAGCCCTCGAACTCACATTTAAAAGGTTTTTCACCTAAACGTGCAAAGAGAGAAATGACGGCGGGTTACGAATATGCTTACAGGCCCGTGCATGCTCACCTTGGCCATCTATGCTAATACTGATTTAGCCTAAGTCAATTGACTGCATTCCATAAAACCATGTTATATGAAAAGTTACCCTACAAAACAAAAATGCACATCTAGGCTTCACTCCACACTGTGGATGTGAAATGACAAATCTGATCTTCAGCTTTCAATCAGTGACTCTGCAAATACAGAGCCGCTTCAGGCCATTGCAGCCATGATTATAAATGTTTACAAATACCCCATTTGTATAGTCTAATAAATTGTTACTAATGCGCAAAACTGTCTATGAACTACTTGCTGAGACTCTGGTGCAGTCCTGGTCGCAACAAGTGAGACAGTGTATCTGCGGACCAAATCAACAAGGCTGCAGTTAAACATGCTTTGGATTATGATGAATCTGCGACAGCAAATACAAAGATTTGTTTAAATGGAGTTATTATGCATAGAATGACTTATGGCTATCAAAATGCTAATTGATGTTCTAGCACAAAATTGCCTACAGCTGCGCACTGTCCATCCTGCACACACAGTGATGTAGCGGACCATCAGGAAGAACTGGCCTCTGAACTATTAAATAAACTTTAATAGTTTCGGTGAAATTATCATTTTGTAGGTCTGCATCTTAATGGATTTCTGCCTTTAGGAATAAAAAAAACATAAATTCACAACACACTACGCATGTGCAGTTATGTAATAAGGAAAGTCACAAGCGGCCCTTTTCTGTCTCTATTCTCTTTGCTTTCATTAGTAAAACAATTTACACCAGAAGTAAAAGGGGGCGCATAATAACTTGTTTTTTTTCTGAGGGCCATTCAATTCATTCGTTAAATATAATTTTAATTTAAAATCCCACATGTCAGTATAATAAGACCTTGTGAGATTACGTTGCTACTACAATAACCTGGTGTGTGTGAAAATAAGAATAAAATAAGATTGCACAGTAAATTCTTTATAAAGAAGATATTAGATTCTGTGATCTTATCAGCGGCATAGAAGGAAATGCCCCAAGAAAGTCACCTTTTTAAAATGAAATGCATTTTATCAGATAATTTCACAGTGCTGCCTGAAAAGTAACAGGCCTATCAAAGTGACTGAAATTAAACGAGATTGAGGCCATAAATAAATCATCTTTTTGAAATGTGACTCATTTTTTATATTGATAATTATTAGCTTTTGCTGACTGAGGTCATCTGCTCACTCACCTTTTTATTTCTTACTACATCACTGTGTGATGTGCCCTGCTAGTGTTCCTGAGCACAGAGTCCCTGGGAGGCAGAGACAGCGTAAGGGCTACGTCACAGCTCTCCGGTGTCCCGGCATTTATTTAATAATTTCACTGAATGAAGTGGGAGAGGCACCCATACCACTAGGCCTGCAGACTACTCATTTGTAACTGGCTTACTACTACTACTCGTATGTGGTTCCTGCATGCTTTTGTCGAGCAAAACAAGAAGCAAGGACAGAAGCTCTGCTGCATCACACATTGCAAACAATTTGGCCTAAACAACAACAAGCACCATATAAAAAAAATATTCATCATCATAATTGTGCTAGTGATAATAATAAAATAATAATACCACTAATAATAATACATGTAGCCTAATAATAATGTGACAGAATTAGCAAAAGTCCTTAATCAGTTCAGACAGAAACACTGCAAAACTGACACATAATAATTAGTTTTTCAAGTTGAAAATAATGACCACATAAAAAATGTATACAATTTAATCAAAACGTGTTTTTTTTTTATTATTATTATTATTATTATTATTATTATTATTATTATTAAAATTGTGTGTTTTCGTATGATACTACTTTCGTACTAACCTGTGTGAGTCCTTTTGTGGATCTTAAGATTTTCTGATCTTGCAAAAACTTTCTCACAGCCGTGAAAGGGGCAGGGAAAGGGCTTTTCCCCTGTGTGGACTCTGACGTGGTTCACCAGCTTGTATTTGGCTTTGAAAGGCTTCCTGTCTCTCGGACAATTCTCCCAGTGACAAACATATTCAGAGTGTTCTGGTCCTCCGACATGCTCCACTGTCACATGGGTGACAAGTTCATACATGGTCCCGAAGGCTCTGGAGCAAGGCAGCTTCCCAGCCCCCTCTTGGCCGTCACTCCACTTGCACACCAGCTCATGCTTCACTGTTTGTCTGGAGCACCTGAGGAAAGCGTCGCCTCCTCCACGCTGAATTGCCATGTTGAGGGGTTTGTACAGACCCAGGAATTGTGTGACAAGTTGCTGGCTGTTTCCCTTGGGGCTGATAGTTTGGCCATAATGATGAGTCCGAGTGAGGAGGTCGCCAGGTAGACCCAGCATCATCTGGCTGCCGAGATCTCGAGATGCGTCGGTGGAGGCATGGGCCTGCTCTTGATAACTTGTAAAAAAAGCATGGCTTCTGTTGTCTCTGCAGCCAGGAAAGTCACGATACCTTCCAATCCCGCCATGTTGATTAGCTCTTGATGCCAGTTGATCAGTGACGGGTGGCATGCCGGCTCCAGAAAGATTGGCTCCAATGATAATGCCCCTAGGGCTGTGCTCTAACCGGTGGCTAGGGTATCCAGAGTCTGCAAAATTGGGAACCGAATGGTCAACATATGCACTGGACCTCGTCTCGGGGTAGTCTCGCAAATTGTGCGAGGGGCAGAGTTTTAAGGAACTGCCAGTGGGGTGTCCCATGTGCTCTCCTGCCAAAGGTGGCAGCACCACGCTGGGTTCAGTATTGCTCTCCCCGGGGTTGACGCAAGAGAGAGGGCAGCCACTAAACCTCGAAAGGCTTGTCATGTTTTGTTGTGAGTTTGGCTACGAGTTTGCAAAATCAACCAGTTCAGCACTCAGGATACACCTAGAAATTCAGTTTCCATTTTCCTTGTTTGTATATCATCTGCATGTGAAATTCTTGGCCGTGAACTTCGCAGGAGTAGGAACCAGACTCAATTTCGTTAAAGTTGGTGTGAGTCCCATGCCGCTCACTTTGCCCTCTTGATTTGTGGCAATAACCGTGGTAGTAAAAATGCTTCGAAACAGGCCATGGTGCAATATAAAAGCACAGCAGGCAAACCTGCTTTTAAAAAGGGAGCTTTGGGATTGGTTGGAATGCGGTGTGATTGACAGGCACTGGGTTTGTTTTAAAAGGGACACGCAGGCGTTCACTGCACGACTCCGTTTTCAAATATCGCACAGAAAAAGCTTTGAAATGTGCCGCGATACTTGCAAATATTGCTGCCTCTTTAACTTCAGGCGCCTTCTTATAAGACCCCTTCTCTAAATCTCCACATAAGAAAAATGTAAAGGTTAATAAGTATTACTAATCAGAAGATAGAAGTCAAGTGATTCAACGCAGACATGAGCAAAACATAACACAATCACAGCCTATTTGCCGTCCTTTATTTCACTGGAAATCTTGCCAAAGCAAATGTCCCACTCCTGCCCTGCAAGAATAATAGAGAGACTGGCCATTGCGTGTCCAGGCCAATTATTGTCAAGACTTGCATGTGGAGTGCCACATTTGAAAACAGTTAAAGTTTCAAGAAATTCATTCTTACGATTAAATCAGTTATTTGAAATTATTTAAAACACTAATAATGCCTTTTTGCGTCATTTGCCTGTACGACCACACGTTTATAGAGCAATGTTTTTTATGCAATATACCTATTACTAAGCTTTCATAAAGATACGAGTATCTTGGCGTTGCACTTTTATTTTATGTTAGGCTACATGCATTTTCTTAAGGGCACGTCCTTAGGCCTACGTGTTGGCCTCATCATATCCAAAGAAAAATAAAACTTTGATAAAGCAACAAGTAGTTCTACATGAGGCACTGGACCAACAAAATATCTTAATAATCTTATTGGAAAAAACTTATTTCATTCAGACATTTCCCAGCAGTCACTGGAGAATACAACAGAACATGACATTTTACCTTTGAGCCCAGTGTGAACAACTTCTGTACACAAACCCTTTCTAATTAAGCTGAAATAAATGAATAATCACCAAGAATACGCCATGCCTCTTGCAGGCTAGCGCAGATGTAAATTGGTTACATAAAATGTAAATTATGAAACGTGTCAAACAGCAGTGGATAGGCTCCACTGTTCCTGGGATACTCAGATCAACTTTCTTACTTTGGGGTGCTCTGAGGACAGCAGTTTCAAGCTCTCTACTCACCAGTGCAGCACATACTTCTGCACGTGTGCTGGCCTTGGCTTTGATTCTATCAACGCACTTTCCTGTACCTGGACCAGTTTAGCTAAATTCTTTTATCTGTTGCTTTTATTTAAATCTACACGACGTGGCGTGGGTTCCGGACTGTAGCTTAAAGGTTTAAGGTCAAACCCCCTTATTTCCAAAGAGTGTAGCTGTCTGAATTTTCAACTTTTTCTTAAAAAAAACAACTTCCTTTTCCACATTGTTATGCTGACGTCACCTGCAGAGACAAAGCAAGGGGCCCACTTGACATTAAATGCCGCAAAATAGTAGACAGCCCCAGAATTGGCCTAATTCCGCCATGATTGTAATGGACGCTCATGTTTGTCAACCTTTAACCCAATGCATTTCCGAAAATGATTGAGGGCTGAAGGCATATACACCGAAAGTTTCCAATCTGTCATTCAGAAAGCAAAAAAGACTGACAGATCTGCGCTCTGAGTGATTCCAGGTCCTCATTTGTAGCAAGAAGCCAAAACAAGAAAGCGGACCATCAAGAATAACTGCACTTTTATAATTTAATACAATACGCCGATTCTATGAGGCTGTTTAGGCTTGAGACCCAGCAAGTGAAGTGTGCGCCTATTTAGGCCTATTTGATAACTGCAGATTATACTTTAATAGCTATTTTGTATAAAGACAGAGCTCATTTAAATGCTCATAGCATCAAAATTTGTTTAAATGTTCACATGGCCCTTAATGTGGTCATAACTTAATTAGAGTTTAGCCTAATAAGCAGTTTTCCATAAATTACAAGTCTATTCGTTTTGCTGCAGTTGGTTATATGTCTGGTAATAAGAACATAATGAACTAAATAAGTAGCCTATAAGATATTATTATTCAATTTATATGGTTAAAATGTGACAAATGTTTAAACAAAATTTTAACTGCCTTTAGGCCAATACATGCTAAATTTGTACCAAAATGATTTATTACTTAGTTGAGAACTTTGTCTTGTTAGAAAAACATATTTACAGTATTAGTAATTTTTTTTAAATAAGGCTTTTTGGGTAAGCTTTTCCCACAAAGTCAATAAACACACACACACACACACACACACACACATAAATGCATTCATGTTTATCCATAATAAACTATCTGTAAAAGAATCACCAGGTGTTACACTCTGTGTCAATGTAACAGAAGACATTGAAAAAAATGATAAAGTGAGAAGAATGAGAAGCACAAAAATATTATATCAAGTATCCAAATGTGAGTTTGCGCGGGTGGAAGCCAGACACAAAGTTACTGCATGTTCATATATGGGGTACAAAAAAGAATGCCCATGTGTGTTTATGCATGTGTATGTGTACTTTTAAACAACTGCACGCATTTGTGTCGAATGTGCAGAGATATTAGAATTGGTATGGGATGGCAGTGCACTGTCTTGCCATGGCTTTGTGAAATTTAGAAGAATTAACATGTTTGGGATGAGTCCATTTGCAGACAGATGCTCTAGTAAATCACAGCAAGAAGTCAATTAGCCATCCCCGTCAGCCATATGAAGGCAAACACCAAGCACTGTAGCAGTCACTCAAGACCCAACTGACCATATAATCTATGAAATATAGATGATCTGGGCTATATACAAGTATAAACCTGTGCTGAATAACAAGAAGCAAATACAGAATGATAAAACTTTTCTGAGACTGTGTTTCCTCAATGACAAACAAAAAACAAAGACATACACAGCACAAACACATTCCCGATAACAATGCAATGCAGTCAAGCATTACACATTGACAAATTACAAATTATAAGACAACTGTCATTCATCATGTAAAGCCCTAGTATCTATGCAGACAAAATCTATGTCATTTTCAGCTGCTATATTTGCACAGAAATGTAAAATAACATTTGATATTAGCTACATGTATTTGGAAAAAAACAGCGCATAATGTAAAGAATTGTTTTGCGAAAACTATAAGCAAAGGATGCAAATTCTGAATGCATAAACAATAGGCCTATTCTAAAACAAGTGTGAGGCAAAATGGTAACCTGAGCCTTTCCTTGCAGCTTGGCTCTGCAGAATGAACGAGAACTGGGAAAGGTGTCATGGAGAATCCAAAGCAGCTTACAGAACATTCATTTTCTTATTAAATCAAGGCACAGACATAGTCTGAGAGTTGGGATATGCCACAGCAAAAACCTTCAAGTTCATTCAGTGCAATATCCCTTTCAGCAAAACAGTGAAATTACAGTATCATTCATTTAACTGCGCCGTTGGAATACACTGACCATTTTCTGTCTGTTTAAAATGTAAATGAGGAAAACACATTCACATACAGAGATATTTGATAAGCTATGGTTTTTCCATTGTTTTACGGAGATGCCAGTTTCACTTTTGTCTGGTCACTATTGAGTTAACTTCAAGTCCTGAAACTTGTCTATAACACAAGTGGACTGAGCCAGCCAAGCATAGTGTAGGCTACAGGCCAGACAAAGTGGACTACAAAAAATACTCAACTTTGCTGTTAGAAAAAAATCCAGAAAATTGAGCTGTCATTGGCCAATTTGTTTAACTAGGTCATTTTTCAAATGATGCACTGAAATAACTTGACTCTAACACATCTAGTTAGAATAAATGTATATGTGAGTTTTTTACCATTTAGGCTGATGGTTATGTTCTGCTCTTTTCAACAGCATGGGCCTACTGTCACAGAGGTATGCACACTACAATACTGTGATATTTTAAGGTAACGCGCATGCTCAGTTAGAAGAAGATTATGTTATAACCAATGGGCTATCCCAACACCCAATGAGGTGTTCCCAGCAGAGAAAACTAAATCATCAAATTATAGACTGTCCTGCAGAATATCCTGCAATAATTTAGCAGGTTGCATTAAGTCTACATTTATTAGATTTTAAAATGTGTCAGCCATTTGAACCACAGAAAACACAAGCTTACACCAGCCATGGATGCATAACCATCTAATCTTTTTATGCAACTGAAATTAACATCTCTAATGATTAAAATAAATATGCAGAATCCTGTGATTGCAAAACTAGAAAATGTAATGAAATTAAATAGATTTGTCAAAAAAAAAAAAAAAAAAGAGGTGAAAATTTCACTGACCTGAGGGAGGCATGCTGGAAGAGCGGTGTGAAATATTTTGGGGAAAAATGGCTGGTGTGAGTGAAACAAACGGTTAACAAAAGTGCAGCTTTATAAGAGCTCTTTAAAGCTGCCTTTCCCCCCTCTTTTAAAGTTCCCCTATTTTCTATTGGTCCAGTAAAAATATGATTAATGTGCCGCTGCCTGCTCCTTTCAGGCACGAAAATGTAGATTAAAAAATAAAACAGGAAATAAAAATAACAAAAAATCACCCATTGCAATCCTGACTCTCTTTCACTTTGTTTTTGATGCTGGGGGGAAAAAACATAATTTCAAAATACGCGTTTGAAGCCATCAATAGTCAAATTCCACATTTGTAGAATGAATTAAATAATAGAATATTCAATTAACACCAGTATACCAGAAGGGATCTGCAGTAGTTTTAAATTTAACTCGCAAGCAACAGTTGCTTTACATTAGGTCTAGTTGATGACAGCTCCCCCTTTTCTCAGCAAGAGCTCAGTGCCTACGCTGCTGCTCTGTCGCTCACAAACATTTGTGACTCATCTAAACCATGTTACTTAATTATTTCATAGTGATAATGTGGCTGCAAATACACGGCACATAACCTTAAGGCGTATGGAGCCTTCACGTTTCAACAAGCCAATAAAATATGGAAAGAATACAGGAAAACTTAACAGGACGCTTGTCACTTGTGAAAGTTCACAAAGGTCGCCATAAATCTCATACTGCAGAACCGCAAAGGCAAACTCTGTTAACCGTGTGTATGTGTGTGTGTGTGTGTGTGTGTGCGCGCGCGCGTGTGCGCGCATGCTGTGTGAGAAGATGAGTGTGTGAGAGTGAAGGGGGGAGTAATGTGAGAGGCTATGCCTTCGTGGTGAGGGGGGGGGGGGGGGGGGGGTGGGGGGGGCAGCAGCTTACGGAGGAAAAAGAGATGAAGTGAATCTCATTCGTCGTTTTGCTTCAAGTTGTTGAGGTTATGTACAAAAAGCCGATGTGTTGTGCTAATGTGCACGACGGTCATAAAAACAGAGGTATGCTGGTCCTTGAAACAATTAAATTACCGTATGAGAAACAGGCCCAAGCACTGAGCAGGCTATGTTCACTTCAAGAAAACTATATCCCATGCAACCTCCACAGGCTAAATATAATAAACTGATTTACACACTTCTACAGTACACACAGGCCTAGCTCATGGCCCCTCTCACACAGGAAAGACGACGGATAAGTAAGAAAACTCACCTTTTCAATCTATAACTCTTTCTCGAGGAAAATTTCTGGAGTGAATGTGGTAGGATGAGGGCGAAAGCAGAATGAAGGACTGATTTGAATTTTTTTTTTTTTGGTCCAGATCCCCTAAAATAAAGAATGTGAGCTCCTTCCTGGGACAGATTGAGGGGGAAAGGATGTGAAAGGCTTGGAGTTAAAAAGCGCCGCTTGAAGCACTCAGCGCGTCTCTGAACTTGATCAGATTTTATGTGTCCTGCAGCGAGTCAGCGGCAGCCCTGTGAAACTTGCTCAATGGCACGAATTTTTGGCTGAGCGAAAAAATCTCAGGATATTACAATTACTGCCATCTTTCTTTCTGTCTTTTATTCCTCCGTCTTACACCCTATAGAGCTTTTGCAAGAAAAAAAAAAATACTCCCTCCCCTTTCAAGCGGCTTCAAGAAAGCCACAGTTTGGAACTGTGCCAAGTACATTCAAGTTTTCAGTTAATAAGAGCAAAACTAGTCACATGAAAGAGAAGAATAACAGATAAGTCAGTGATATATAAACTATCATAGATAGATAGACAGATAGATAGATAGATAGATATCTCAAATAGGCACTAATGAAAGTTAAACTTGCCATCAAAATGTATTGAAAAGTTTTTTTTACCCACTAAATATGACAAACCAAATACAGTTTGTTACAGAATAACCTGCTTAATATTGTTTCTTTAAAATAAGTGGTCCACTAAAGGCTTGAACGGAATCTGTTTTTTAAAACCCTGCAGTAGGTAGAATATTCGAGTCTGCACTATTATATACATATATTTTTTAATAGAACTGTTTGGGAGTTTCTTGAGGAGTAGAAATCACGTAAGAAATGCCTTACACACAACCCATACAGGATCTGCGCTAGAGTGCTCCGTTATACCTGCAAAATAATGCCTGTGCGAGCCAATCAAATGAAACCAATTGAGACGACCTGCCATCTTCAATACCAAACTGTGCCAATCACCAGAAATCTAGCCAATTAACACCCTCCTTCGCAGTCACGTGTCAGAGGGGTAACTGCGCGCCGATTGGCTGTCGTAGCACTGCCTCCCGAGTTCATTTATGTTCTGGGAGTGAGTGATTGACTTTATCAGTCCAAGGACATCATCCGCCTGGAAAGGGGGGGAAGTTTGATCCTCTTTCTCACGGAACGTGGTCATCGGGAGTTTTTTTCTCCCTACTCTTTACGCATAGGACTTTCCCCCGTTTTGGCTTGGTGTGTTTTTATGTTAGGGCTTTTCGCTAAACGTGGTAAATCTCGGCGCAGTGTCTGCAGCTTGCGCGCTCCGCTAAACTGGATTTTAATTTTCTTTTTCCTACCCGTCTCCTAAGTTTGCTTCAAGCTCATGACTATGCTTCTTGATAGCGGTCCGCAATTTGCATCGTTAGGAGTGGGGGGTTTCGGGACACCGCGGCATCACGAAATCGGGAACAGAGACCCGGGTCTGGGACTGAATCCCTTCACCGATTCCTCCCACTCCGCAGCTTTCAAAATCAGCCCCGTGGCTCACGATATCGCCTCCAGCCAGACATCAGCTTTCACCCCGCAAGCCACTGGATATGCAGCTGCGCTGGGGCACACTCATGGCGGGCAGGTGGGCTCGTACGGTGGAGGAGCGTTCAATTCAACACGGGACTTTCTCTTCCGGAACCGGAGTGTTGGAGAGTCCACAGCGCCGAGCGCCCAGCATGGGATCTTTGCAGCTTCGGCAGGAAGCCTCCACGGTCCGCCCGGGATCACCGATAACCCCGGACATCTGTTGTTTCCAGGACTTCACGACCAGGGGGTGAGCCACACTTCACCGAGCGGACATGTAGTTAACAGCCAAATGCATCTTGGCTTACGCGGGGACATTTTCGGAAGACCTGATCCGTATCGTCCGGTCGCAAGCCCTCGGACGGACCCCTACGGGGCTCAACTCCACAACTACAGCCACCCTATCAACATGAACATGGGGATGAATGTGCCGACACACCACGGTCCGGGGGCCTTCTTTAGATACATGAGGCAGCCGATTAAACAAGAATTATCCTGCAAGTGGATAGACGAGAACCAGATGAACAGACCCAAAAAGACTTGCGATAGGACTTTCAGCACCATGCACGAGATGGTCACTCATGTGTCCATGGAGCACGTCGGCGGCCCCGAGCAGAGCAACCACATCTGCTACTGGGAGGACTGCCCGAGAGAAGGGAAATCTTTTAAGGCCAAGTACAAACTCGTCAACCACATCCGTGTGCACACGGGCGAGAAACCGTTCCCATGCCCATTCCCCGGATGTGGGAAAATATTCGCCAGGTCGGAAAATTTGAAAATCCACAAAAGAACACATACAGGTGGGCACAAACAATATCAAGGCATGGTTTGCATAAAATAACATTTAAGAAGTGAGGCTACTCTGAATAGCAATGGTGTGTGTTAGTATTTCAGTTTTTGTTATTTACAGGGACCAGTTGAAAACTTAATTAGTTGAACAATTCCCAAATTGTTAGTAGTCCTACAGTCTTTTCCTGAAATATTTATAAATACATTGATACAGAATGTGGGCTGAATAATTCAGAAAATGTGGTTCTGATCAGCAACTCTGTGTGTTAACCCTCATCCATACTTGTAACGTGTACCATGCTAAGAAGTTGTGTGTGATATAAACACAGATACTTTGCTCGTCAAAGTTTAGATGTAGTAGCTGCATTCGGCTATTTAGGCAAACCTAGGGCTCATGTGCTTTCTCAGCGTGCTATACAATTGCAATGAATCAGTTTCTGGCTGTGTTTATAATTCTCGCCCTTGGTGAGCTATCTCGTAGTGCAGTATGCCCTGTTGATTCAGTGTTTACTATATAAGAGACGCACAGAGCAGGTCAGTAGTAGCATGAAGGAGCAGGCCTCTTGAATAAATAAAGCCTGACAGAGCAGTGTGTAGTAGTGGAGCTGTATCCACGTCGTCTCGAAAATGTAGGTTACTGTTATATAATAGGCTGCAGACCATTTACATCTCCGGGCTTTGAGTTTACAGGTGGTGTAACAATGGGGGTTTGTGCTTGTACTGGGGAAATTCACGGTGCGTGTGTTTGTGTATTTAATCCTGCAGGTGAGAAGCCGTTTAAGTGTGAATTTGATGGCTGTGACAGACGCTTCGCCAACAGCAGCGACAGGAAAAAGCACATGCATGTGCACACATCAGACAAGCCATACATCTGCAAAGTGTGCGACAAGTCATATACACACCCCAGCTCTCTCAGGAAACACATGAAGGTAATTAATGTCTTCATTACTCCTTAAACACATTAAACACACACACACTCCACCCCCACCCACCACCCTCTCCTCCTCTGCCACAGACAGGGACTATCACAACTTCAGGCATTACTTAAGATGCTATTAGTGTCACACCGCAAAGTATTTAAATGTCATACAGTCTATTAGTGACACTTTAACTCTCTTGTTTAGCTAAACAATTGACATATAGTTGTGAATTTTTCACTCGTATGTCATTCATTTTATGCTAGATTCACAACTGTCTTTTTTCGCCTTGTTTATAAAAAAAAACAGTTTTATAGAAAAATGTTTATTGTCTCTCTTTATTAACATTTTTTTAAATCACATGCATAAAAACTACATTTTAAGACACGCATGAATGGTGCATTAATGTGGATTTTTTTGCAGTGTGGAAGTTGCCATGTCTGTTTCAAGTTTGCTGTTAAAGTTGCTCTATAGTTAATCCGCATTTAAACTCAACATACTCCTACCAAGCCACTTTAAATTACATGCATATTATACAAGTCTCAGCCACTCATCGCTCACGTCGTCCTGTCTTTTGCAGGTACATGAGTCTCAAGGATCTGAATCGTCTCCAGCAGCAAGCTCTGGATACGAGTCGTCCACACCGCCAGTGCTGGTCTCAGCCAACACAGAAGACCCGACAAAAACACCGCCGTTAGCCGTACAAAACACGTCTGGCCACAGCGAAGGACTGGCACCAAACTTTAATGAATGGTACGTTTGAAGTTAAAAGACCAAACCATCTCTCAATGTGGACCACAGGGATGAGGATACATGAGGATAAAAACCTTGAAAACTATTCCTGCTCACTTTATATATACACACACACACACACACACACACACACACAAATGGGATTGGGACGACAACAACAACAGGAGATGAGAGCAAAAGCCAGCACCAAGCAGGCCACGTCCGTTCTCAGGATCAGAAATTTGACTTTTATTCCGCAGATTTGAGGAAATCAAATAAATCACGGATAAATAAACGTAATACTTTCTCAGTATAAATACATGTTTTTTTATCTTTTATTTTACAGATTTCAGAAAAAAAATTGTTTTATTTTTCATTTTATGTATTTTCTCAAATTTTTATTTAAAAAAAAGAATAAAAAGGAAGATTATTTCACGCTGTTTTATATGACGGTGACGCCTATTGTCGCCTCTTCAATTGATTGTTGGAACTTCAAACAGTCTTAAGAAACGTGCCAAAGTCTTTGTCATGAACTTGAACACAGAAAAAAATCCTAAATAAATATTATACTCGTGAATGTATTTCCTTGTTTGATGGGGTCGAATCTATTGTCAACGTCCGTTTTCAGGTGGAGAAATGTGGTATTAGGTTACGATTGTTACCGTTGAATATAACGTTGCCTTTTGTTAATACCGTTGTAAATACATATCCATGATGCCATATTTATCAATTTGTAATTTAATTATGGGTATAAGTTCTGAAACTTAAATGATATTTATGGAAATGTTTTCTAACAAGAACTGTACAGTTTTGGTCATAACCAGCTTAACATTGAACAAATGATAAACTCTAAAGCTCCAACATCACGATTGTATCCTTCTGTTTTCTTTTCAACCAATAGGCCTACATGTGTCTTATTTGGATCAAAGAAATCATCTATATGAATATTATGGATTTGTCTATATATAATGCAGATATTTCCGTCACTTTTATTTTCTTTATGAGACCATTGACATGTAAATCATTGACTTTGTAGAACTGAGTTCAGTTGAGCTGAGAAGCTATAAAACGGTTCTGTTATCTTTATTTTTGGTTAAATCTAAACCTTTTTTGTGTATTTTACTTTTATAGAATCAGAAATAGATGTCAATTCGTAGCATAAACTCAGTATTGGAAAAAAAAAAAAAAAGAATAAACCCATCAGCCTATTGCACTCCTATACAGGTCTTAGACGAGTGTGCGAAGTTCATGATTTCCAAATCAAAGTGACAGCATTTTGAGTATTTCAAATTCGGGTCAAGCACCCAAATATATGCGCCAGTATGGCAATCTTTATAGTTCCAGCAATGTCTTTGTGCAAGTATGTTTAAATGTGTGCATCGGCAACAATGGAACTGTCACAACACAGTATCTTCAAAAATAAAAAAAAGTTTTTTGTCTGTCAGCTTGCATTGTTTTAAATGTAATTCTGTGAAACTAAGCGTGTTACTTGTTGTGGTGTTGCATATAGAGCAGTTTGATTACACATTTGCTTGTTTTGTGTGAATAACTTGTCAAGATGACATTTTTTTGTGTTTAGCAAAATTTAGTGGAAGGAATTCTAGATCTATGTGGGTTGGGGGAGAATACGTTCAGTGGCAAAAAGAGTTACAGCATTGCATTGTAACCTATTCTCAAGAATTAAATATTATGCATACACAAAGTATATTGTACTCATATGAGAACAATTTCAGACCACCAGCACTACTTTTAAAATAAAATGTAAAAACGGTACCTCGTGACAGTGATATATGAAATAAGTTTATTTAAATAATTTAAGGAATATATGTTTTATATGCTATTTTCTATACCTTAATTTAAAAGAAGTACTTTTTTCTTATAACCGCCACCTTTTTGCCCCATGTCCGGAGATAAGAAAAATATCTGATGTATAAACACAGCTAGAATGTGATGTTGTAACACTTTCTGGGCGAAATGGGTCACACTCCAAGTTATTCCTGAAGAGCAAAAATGTTTTACTGATGAACTGTGTCACTGTGCCACATTGAGGCAACCCATGTTACAACAGCAGGCCTATGCGTTAGCCTATTTAGCTACCAGAGGCAAAGGTTCCTTGTACTTTTTAGGCTACTGTATGTTGGTTGATTTGTTTTACCAACTATTTATGAAGAAATGTGAACGGAAATTTTGACTGAAATTAAAAAAAACATTATGAAAAGCGACTTTCAGACTGCGACATTGATTATTATCACCTTGTTGTTCTGCTCCCTGCATATTAAAGCATATAGCCGACACTGTTTGCCATGCTGTTTGTATCAGACTAGTAGGAGTCACTTGAACTTGACACTGATTAAGGCGCCATCTTAGTATCTTGGCGGTGTGTGTGTGTGTGTGTGTGTGGTGGTAGTAGTGGTGGGGGTGGGGGGGTATATTGGGGAAGCAAGTTTGAGAACCACTCCCTTGGGTTTGTGGGTCAGCCATATATGGCTGCAAAAGTTGCAAATGTTTTGTTTGTTTGTTTTTAAATGAGGCTTACAAATAATATTCCTAAAACGGGCAACTGAGGACACTGTGTGACCGTGAAAGTGAAGTGGGATATGTTGCCAAATGTGGCGCTGCCTCAGCGTCTCCCACCACCCGATTAACAAGGAACCGCTTCATAAAAACAACCAAAGGAGTTACCACACATCAATGGACGCCGTAATAAGCATTTAAATGGCGAAAAAATCAGTTTAAAGAGCTCATGCACAGGCTTGAAATCTCTAATATTATAGTGTTATTCACTAAATGTTTTATAAAGCTATATCCGTTTAAATGCAGGGGAAACATAGCCTACTGTGTATAATATGACATACTGATTTTGCTGGTTTACTCCCCTTTGGAGTCTAAAGCAGAGGAGGATTTTACACCAACCCCAACCGTCCCCACCACCCAAAAGGTGCTTCAACTGGGAACAGATTTAGGAATATTGATTCAAATTCTACTTTTGACTTTCGCGCAAGCGCACCCCTTGCATTCCGTTTGATTTCATTTCTTTTCATTCCTCTTCCCTCCCCTCTTCCCCATCCCACGCTCCTCGCTCCCTCCCTGCCTGCCTGCCCGGCTAGTCTAGTCGCACATTTCAAGTTCCCCCTCTCAGATACCGTGACGTCAAATAACCGAGACCCGGCTTTCTCCGGAACACGTCGGGCTCACAGGAGGCTGCATCTTTTACGCATGCATCTGGGATATGCTAAACATATAAGTGGTTGCTCTCTGATCTGTCGTAGGTGATCACCACAAGGGAAGAGAGGAAAATATGATCACGAAATAAATAAAACCTAAACATTTTTTGATTCCGTTTTCCTACATCTGTGGAGGGTATCTATTCAACCTCCACAGGGGATAGCCCGTGTTATTGCCCAGGCATGTGCTTTATGCTGACGCCCAGTACAAGTCATCGCTTCCAGATTATTTGAGAAATCAGAGCAGGCGATTCAATCCAGAAGGAGAAAAAAACATGAAAGGCTCCATTCTGGTGAATTCTCAATGGATTAGAAAGCAGTGACGGTCACGTGGATGCAGTTGTGTAAAGACTAGCGGCTGTATCACAACAATGCCCCTCTGCAGCAGACTACTGGCTCTGAATTACGTTAGCGCTCATTCATCTCAAATTATTTTATGGATTGCGATACTTGGCTGCTGTGTGCGGACCCGGAGGACGGCTGACTGTTGGCAGCGTGCACTAGCCTATAATCTCTCTCTGCCCATAGGGTCTGCTTGTAGTATCCGAGGGAGGAAGGGAGCAGAGGCTGATGTTGGGGGTGGGGGTATTCTGCATGACAAAAAAAAAAACAGGACTGAGTTGTACTGCCGGTTCGCGCCTGTATCTGAAGTTTGATATCGGATTAATTGGTCAGCCACAACCCCGTTTACCTTGCTCCGTCTCCGTATTTGCTGGCTAAGCGGGGGAGCGCGCTCTAAGAGGATAAACTGACACAAGCAGGTCCCCGACGCCTTTTGTCACGCAACGGTGGCTGTGATCTTAATAAACCCAGTAGCTAATTTATCATTCCTTAATTTAGCTAATATTAGACACCACATTCACAGACTTTATATCAATGAATTCAAAAGTAGCCTACCTGTTTGTATATAAGCTATAGCTACACGTGCAAGACTTAAATTTAACCAACATTCAAGCTTTACAGTGAGTGAGGCTGTGTAGGATGCAAGGTCTTGCTCAGGGGCACTTCAAGCAAGGCGTTTGGCCCTTGATCTGAGACCTTTTGGAAATGGGACGGCACTTGAACATCAGCGCATGACCGACCTCTGCTTTGCTGCCACTCACTGATTTCCTCCCATCGAAGCCAAAGCCAAAACTGAATCATCGTGAATAAATTCAGTCATCAGAAATGCAGGGCTTATCTCACCACATATAGCAACAAAACATGTTAACATAGTGGATTACTTTAGATATTTATGGAAGTCGTTCTTTAATATGAGACATTAAGCCTCCACGGGTAACTAGAATGTTTTGTCACAAAAACGCACCATGACAATTAGATTGAAGTGAGATGGATTTGTAACATCATAAGGAAAATATGGCTTGATAAACAAATAGGTAATTGCATAAGAGCTAACATACATCTGATAATTGCTTAACCAAGGGCTTCCATTTGCACGGAAGTTGATGTGCTTGCCAATTATCGATGCTTATTTCACCTCCAGCAGGGTGTTGAATATGCTCTCATAAAGTACCTTAATCCACGGTGTGTCTTTATATCTTAATGTGTTTCATGGCTTTTGTAATGCAAACTGATTAACACAATGGCTTTGTCTTTGAGTTCAATTATTCTTCTATTGACTCCTAAGAGACATTTACATACCCCATCATACTGTATACTGTAGCCCGCAGGCATCGCTGCTGATGAGGAAATGAGTGAAAGTGGTCGGCATGCCACTTCTGAAACATTATAAAATGATGTGAAGTTGTTCAATGAGCTCAGTTCCCAAAGCATTCATACCGTAGTTTGGCACGGGTAAGCCTAAGTTGCCATATAAGTGGTTAAATGGGTACAATAAATAAGAAAAATACCAAGGGCCTACATAATCAGATTTATAGTTAATGGTCTCATAGCGCAGCATCATTTAGCCTACAGCGACACACACACAACATCCACCTCTCAAATGATATTTCTATTGTGCTAAGGGCTGAAAGATAAACTATTAGTAGGATGTCCAACAGGAGACAGCGCTAATCCCCAACATCTGGCGGGGTGTCAGAAACTTGATGAATTCCTCATCAGAGCAGGCGCAGGAATCAACGCTAATAGGTCCCGAGTGAGGGCTCCGGCAAACGCTCATTCAGCAAAGCAGATGTTCAGCAATGGCGCATTGCGTTTGTCTTTTGACAGATATATTTTCACCACTTCTGAGAGGTGGTAAACGAGTAATTGAGAAATTGAGATCATTTTAATGGCACGTTGGTTTGCCTTGAATGCTGCGGTAGTGCTGTTTCCCTAGCGCAATAACAAGAAATCTGCTTGAGAATTATTTTTGTGAATCAGGGAACTGCAGGTTACTGGAGAAGGTGCAATATTGAGGTTTAAATTGTTAAACAATGTGTACCCTACTCGCCAACTGTAATTCAAACTACAGCACAACTGGGTGTTTACTTTTACATCACCTGCGAAGTCAAAACAAAGTTGCATTTGTTTCGGGATTGCGTGAATGGCGTGATTTAACACAAACTTTTCACCTGAGAGGCACCCTCTTCCCGGGACAGCCTCCACCTCCCAGGGCGGTTTCCCCCCCCCGAAGGGCCATTCAAAATAAAAAGGACAATGCTCGTTAATGTCCCATTTTCTGGAGACAATGAATTAGAATTGGAGAGTGCCTTCCCATTATTTAAAGATTTCATTCATTGCCTCTCTCTTGGTGATTTTCCGCGCCTGCGCAATGCTCTGAGTAGAGTTCTGCAAACCTCCAAGTTGGCTATGTTAACATCAGGGAATGGAAGGGGCGCGCATGTGTTTTAATATCAACACCCACGTGGTTGCGCGCTATTTCCGATATATCAAGTGCATGAATGACCAAGAAATACATAAGTACACCGTCTACAGGCTATCCTATGCTTCTTACAAAAACTACTACTACAACGCAGCGAGAAAGAAAAGTGGCCTATATCTCTTGCACAATTTGTGTTCCAGAAATGCCAATCAACGCGAAAAAAGGCGAGCTCTGGTTGCATAATGTTTGCGCAATATGTAATCCGCTATGGATATGCATGAGGATGGCACTATGAATAACAATCTGCTTGATCCTGCCACAGCCTCAGCACGTGTGTGCGCGATTCCCGGCGTCACACAAACACAGAAAGAAACATATATATATATATATATATATAATATATATATATATATATATATATGTTTTAGTTGTGTGTGTATATATATATATATATATATATATATATACACAGCTTCAGGAGATTTCTTTAGATATATATATATATAAATAT